TATACTTCACCGATCTGTCCTATGTGCTTCATGCACGTAGACATACATTCCTAACCAAGTAACAAAATGAACGGCAGTGACATTTACTAGCCTACTGATTATAAGCAGGGACATGTAACAAAATGAACGGCAATGATATTAACACAATGAATGGCACTGAAATTTCCTAGAGGTCATCAATACTGATTAGAAACAGATGGAGCACCTGTTTGATTATTGACGTCAATGCGCAACGGATACATGCGTGACACGGTTCCATGTACCTCCTTGTCAGTGGTTCAGTGCAATCTACTGCCAGCTCTACAGGTATTAAACTTTGTTTTCTTTTAACTAATTACATATAAAAGTATAACTAAATAGATAATAAAACTGACAATGCAAAGAACAAAAACACATATAGGGTAACATGTAAATTAACTTATCACAACTAGACAGCGAATATATAGAGTATCTAAATGGGTATTATATTGGAAAATGAATACAGAGTAAATAACATCAGTTTGATTCGTCGTACACTCAATTTATTTATGAAACGTTTAATACTTATATAACTCAAGATATGAGGATCATTCTATAGCGAATATAGAGACACTACATACCCACTACTTGTCTCCTGGAATGTCCGCGGTATGGATAGAGTGAGGGCCTGAGGGGTGAACATGGGGAAATTTGTTGTACTACTGAGTAGGATCATCCCGGCGCCCAGCCGGCAGCTGTTCCTGTTGTCGACACTCCTTTGTGCCTTGTGATTACAAGTGCCTACTAACACACTGTATGTTAGCACACTCCATCTCTGAGTGTTTGATCACGCCTTCCCGTAAATGGATGGCTACTGCATACAGACTATATATATCTGCCACATTCAGTAGTACTCCCTCCGTCCCATTGAGTTTGTCGTTGGAAAACCGTGCCCCCCTCACAATCCCGCTTCCCGAGCGACAATCTTAACGGGACGGAGGGAGTACTCGATACCAACATCTTATTTAAATAAAGGTTTGGTGGGTTATTGCAGTTCAATTATGAGAAGGGACGTCTGGACAAGTCGATTCATTACTACACAAGATTTCCTTGTATCCCCACGGATGATGCTATTCATTATTCATTAGGGCTTCTATAGATTGGGGTTAGGAATTAGTATTTGGCACTGTAGCACTTTCGTTTGTATTTGACAATTATTGTCCAATAATGGCCTAACTAGGCTCAAAAGATTTGTCTCGTAATTTACAATCAAACTGTGTAATTAGTTATTTTTTTTATCTACATTTATTACTCCATGCATGTGTCCAAAGATTTGATGTGATGGAGAGAGAGTGAAAAAACTTGCAATCTAAACAAGGCCTAGTACAGCAAATCTATATATAGCATTCGTGGTCTTCGTGACTACCGAGTTCACGGTCCGCTACATGATATGGGACTAAACCCCAATAATCTCCCCCTTAATCACACATCGGGTGCCCCTTAGTCACACATCCTAGTGCCCCCACCATATATGTGACGTTGACCGTGGGCTCACGGTACGGTCTTGGGGCTAGCTTTCAGCCGGCCTAGTTCGCTACCACAAGCCTGTGGTCCCATAGGTCCTAGGTCCATCAACCGATGGTAACCACCGAGTTCTCGATCTTTGAGCTGTCTTGCAGTCAGCCCGGCTCGTTACCACGAGCCTACGCTCCCACAGGTCCTAGGTCCACCAGAGACAACAACATATAAGGCCAATGAACCTTATTCAACCCAAAAGACTAGCTTTATTGGTGGGGGCTTCTCCCGCTTTATATGTTGTGCTCCCCAACTATCCCTACATGATGTGGGACTAAACCCCAACACTTTAGGCATCACAATCACATCACAGACAATGCGGTCCTATCCTGGGACGGCCAAAGCAAGCTTGAAATAACATATACACACTGACCCCCTCAGTCCTACGAATGACAATAGAGTTTGATCCTGAATTTCTTCTACAAAATATGTGGACATTTGCGAAAGATCAATATTATCTTTGAGGGGCTTTTTAAATAGAACAAATCCGCTAATGGAAAATTTATGTCCTGTACTTGTGCATGATTTCACTATCGGTTGATCCAAGAGTCGCAGAAATTATCGTCCACATCAGTTGTGTTTTCTGATGCTATTAGCAAGACTTTTATGTACTACAAGTACATGAAAGAAGCTAGGCACAACTGTTATTTGGGCGTTCAGCGAGGTAGGAGGTAGGGAATCTCTATTATAAGGAGGGACATGCATGGATGACTTGATGACTAGGTGGTTGCATGAATTTCCTTCGTCTCACCTAAGAACAACAAGGAAAGTAGGAAATAGTAACTACTGACCTAAATGCGAAAACAGAAGAAAGTAAAGTACATGATAATATATTGGTTTTCTGTCCATTGAGGTGTAGTTTTAATATTTGTCACCCTTCATAATTGTTTATACAGGGGCAAGTCTTTCTTTATATGGGGTGCATTTCTATAGTTTTCACCCTTTATATTTATAGAGGGGTGAATCTTTCTTTATGCACATTGATACATCGTTTCCCTGTCCAAATCAAATAGAACTCATATGTATGTCGGCTTAGCAGTTTGACAGAACCTATTGCGCCGGCTTCGTAACCATTGATCTTGGTCGAACTCCATCAATGCCATGGAGATAATCAAACTTGTCTAGCTTTTTGTTTACTCCCTTTTTTATATATAATTGGAGTCAACTGCCAAAATAAATCAGTTGTGTGTAGTGCCTTTTTCATATATAATTACCTCGAAATCCTTCTTGTTCATCCTTGTATGGACATTGCGCAGGAACTATTGTGCATGCATCATGCACGTGTCATGCATGCATGCTTTCCCTTCCACTACTACATAAACGAATTGTAGCAGTGCCTCATTTTTTTCCAGTAGAGGTGTCTCACTCATCAACCGTCCCTACAGTCGGTGTGCTTGGGACCCACCAAACCAACCGTCCCTAAAAATAGTTCAGTAGAGGCAGCTGGTAAAACCATTTGTAGGGGCGGTTGAGGTTATCAACCAACTCTACAAATCAGATTTGTAGGGGTGGCTAGGGAACCGCCCCTACAAATCCTTGATTTGTAGAGACGGTTGGGTTCATCGCCCTCCAAATCAGATTCTTCCTTGGTGGGCGAGGTACGTCTAACACACGAACTGTCCAGGCACGCAATGCAAACTTTACTGCCTATTACCATCATGATAGAACCATTAACAGAAGGCATCAACACTGGACGTGCCAGTCATGCATATTTCATGCCTTGCTCCCTAAGCGTCACATGTCCACTAGCTGCCGTCTTGTTGATCTCATTACGTGGCTTTCTAATACTCACAAAAACTATATCCTTATTAGTTTCTTTCGAGTGTAAACAAACATGTTATACACGAGTTACGTTATTGACATCTGCAGCCCGCCCTTGCTACTGGATCAGAGGCAGCATGAATCGAATCAGCAGCGACGAGCGGGTGTGCCAGGTATGGCAAAGCGGCTGACATCTACAGTTCATGAGTAGCATCTTCACAGCACACAGCAACAGATGCAGTTCCTGATTCCTCCTATTCCGACGGACTATTATGTTGATACATCCCGTCCAACACATGCCTTAATTTGCCGGCTGAGATCCGGCCTCATTTTGCAGGTCCACATCAGTTGGGTTGGGTTGGGTTTATTTGGTGCTTTTAGCAAGATTTTTATGTAGTAGCTACAATCAGATAAGAGAAGCTAGGCACAACTGTTGTTTGGATGTCAAGAGCGATGTAGGATGAAGAGATTCTCTTATATGCAGGGACATGTATGCATGACTATGTGGACTGTGGTAGGTGTTGCTTCATCTCAACGCAGGGACATGTATACTTCACCTGTTCGTCCTGCATGCTCCATATATACATACATACCTAACCAAACAATGGAATGGACAGCAGTGAGCCAGTGACAAATACGTTTACTGGTTGGTGTAAGTGTACTGTGTACTAGGAGCAAGAGGTCATCAATACTGATATAGAAACAGATGGATGGGCCGATCATGCTCGAGAATAACCAGTTCAATATTGACATCAACAGATACCTGCAGGGAGATGGTTCCAGATAGCCTCCAATTCCCGTATGTCTATCTCCTGATTCATGGTTTGCTTACTGGGTTTCGACATTAATTTTTCCTCACCTTGTTAGTCCACTCTACCGCTAGATCTACAACATGTAAAGTAGTTTATTTTCTTTAACTGAATACATCGAAAATAATAACTAAGTACATATTAAAACTGACAATGCAAAGGACCAAAACACATATAGAATAACCAGTCACTACTACAGCGCAGGGATATAGTAACACCAACTTGTGTTACTGTATATTGGAAAAAGTGTTACTAGCTCACTTAGTAACATATTTTCTTTTGTGTTCCAATTGGCTATGTTACAATAGACTGGTTTATTGTAACACAACTACTTGTCTACAGGAACACTTGTCTACTGTTACAATGATTTTTGTTGTAACACTTTTTTTTGCTCTAGTAACACTTAACAATATGGTAGAATGCATAGTGTGGAACACATTTATTTATCTATCGTAACATTTGCATAGTGTTACAAGAATGTCTATTGTAACACTTTTTTTAGTTCTAGTAACACTTCCACATTATGGTAGAGCACAATATATGAAACAAAGCAACACATGGTTTGTAACACTTTTTTATATCCATTGCAACATATTCGGATTATGAAACACATATTTATTTCTCCAATACATATGGCACAAGGATTATTATATAATCGCACAAATATGACACACTGTAAAATCACATAAACCACAAATTTCCATAATCATAGCATGATCCACATATTGTGGAATGATCTCAAACATAGTGCTTGTTTAGAACAAATCGTAGTATATGTACATAACGATATGGCTCAAGAGAGCAAACACACGTAGTCCATACTAGAAAGAAAAATTCAAGAACTAGCTATGATTCCTAAAGTCCACTGCTTCTTCCTGTGCGCATTGATGTAGGAATTCAACCATTAATCATTTGAACCTGCAAAGAAAATTTAAGTTGTAACATTACAAATTAAGGCACATATATACATTGATGTAAAGTTAGGAAAGCTAGTTTTGAACATACAAACATCGAAGGCCAAGCAATTTGGACTCCTTTGGCATGAGCATCACCAATATTGTCGCATCCAAGCATAGGCCTCACTAATGGCTCATCTTTTGTTATAGGATGATTGATACGCACTTTGTAGAATTGACTTCCTATCTTAACTCCACCAACAAGGGCTTCTGGATTAGTGCTCAAGAGAGTTGCATATGCCACATTAGCCTTATTAGGATATTTCGAAGTCATTAGTAGCACTGTGGACCCAACCTACATTAATTTGACATAATCTCTTAGTGACCAGCAACCCTTTAGTTGTACATCGTGATCATGCATTTAGAACAAGTGATATGTTCAACTACCTTCATTAGAGAAAGTCGTTTAGGTGTTTGGCGCCTGTAGCTTGTAGCCTTGTCATGAGCCACCTCCTGGTGTGAAATGGTTCTAGTATCTACAAGCCCTCCGTGATGTCCCTTACACATGTCAAATGAAAGTACAAAATAATAAGACACAAAATCTACTATAATTATAGCAAAGTGTGGTTCATAGATACCTTTTGTTTCTTTGGTATTATTCTACTTGTATGGAACTCCTTTGACAAGAATCAAACTGAACGGAAGAGAAAGGCAATTGTATTTATACACTGTTATAGACATCTTAAATAACTAGCATTACTAGTCTAATATATTTTATTCAATGGTACATTGAAATAGTGTACCTCTGTTGGTGCAAAATCATTATGGAGGTGTCGCTCAAATATTGCCCGTGCTTTCGCTTCTTCTACTTCCTTGTCATTATTATCACTTTGGCACCGATTCCAATTCAAAATCGCTTCAAATGATAATTAGTAGGTAAAATATTAACATGTACTAAACTAAGAGTATATTGTTGTTCTTAAATACAAGAAACCAGTTGATAACCTTTTCTCCAGATAAAAGTACATTGTCATCATCACTAAATTTAAACTCACATGTTTCTTTATTCTAGTAAACAGAAAAGACAGTAGCATTAGCTGTTATAAAAATCCTTTATGGATGCATAAGCATTAAATTCACAAGCAAGGGTGACTTTACCAATTCATCCCTATGTTTGAGGAATCCCTCATTCTGGTTGGGTGCACCACACTGGACTCTCTAAAATTTTGAAAGGATATTAAAGCCAAAATACTAGTTTAGGTGAAAACATGGAAAATAGTGCAAATACCTTTCTTTTAGAATTCAGTACTTGATTCTGAGAATTGTTGTGATCACTCCTAGCACAATTTCCCTAGAAAAGATATAAAGTTTGAATAACGCATTTCAATACAGAGTTACAAAATTAAGCTGTACATTCTTACCATTGTTGCTTCTTGGTTCTCATTGTGCCTCCGATTGTTTTTTTTAGTTCTTCGATAACTTTGTCTTGCATTCTAGAATGCTCTTTGAGTTGCCTTATTTCCTCCAACATGTGAACCTCTACATCAGATGATGAGCCATCTAGTGAAACTATATTAATGTCCTTAAAATGGTGTGTTTTTCGACCATAAACTTGTTTAGGAACCGGAAGCAATCCCATGTCGTGCACTTGTCCAGCTTTTTCTTCTCCCAACACCTGATGTAATGCATCACCTTCCCATGCAACTCCGCCCTCACTATTTTGTGCTAACTCTGGTTGTGTGTCTAGGAGATTTTCCAATTGAACCTACAACAATGAAATCCAGACATCGAAAAATGAAATAATTATATATTGCAAAAAAGTTCCCATGTGCATGTAGCATACCACTGGCTCATTTATCCCTTTTCCCTTTTCCATGTGAGTGGCTAGATAAACCTTTGCTCTATGTGGCTGTTTTTTTTTTTCAGGATCAGCTTGCCTCTGCAAAAATAGTAGTAAAGGAAAAGCAAGAAGAATCATATATAATTTTTTTTTACGAGAAGATGTACTCACCATGTCCTCGCACCAACGAGCATAACTCTTTATACCTGCAGTATGAGTTGTCTTCCTCATTTCACGACTTATTTTGTTCTTTTCACTAAGGGTCTACAAGAAAAGTAAATTATTAAATAATGAACCATTATACATGTAGAAATCAACAATAGTAGACGATGATAGTAAAAAATACCAAACAAAGTGTAAATAGTGGTGCCTTACTTTTCCTTCTTCGGACTTCCAAAGATCCTACTAGGGCCTTCCATTCAGCTTCAACAATATCATCTCGGACAACGCTTGTTCAAAAGCAGACCTTTTCTTCTTTGGATTAAATAGTGTCTTTTTAATGTTGCCTTGTATTTTCTCCAATCTCTTCCAATTGATTTGAATATCCATTTCTCACATGAATGAGGATACAAGAACTTTGTCTAAAATAAAAAAGTCACTAAAGAATGAATTTGACTTCATGACATGATAACAATCATATCTTTTAAACAATGAAATTTGCACCAAACACTCTTGCCTATCATCTGGCCACGTGGGCTCACAATATTATATGAGCTAAACGCTATCAACTCAACACTTAAGATGTAATTCACTTCACAAATTCAATTACACTTGAATAAAAAGACCAAATCATCATCCCAAATAACCTCTCATCTATTCAAGATATATCAGGTTTATTTTCGAACTGAAACAAAAACAAAGATGGCTAGAGACAAACTGATGTAGGTGCTAAGAGCGAAGAAAGAGCTAACTTGTACAAATTGAATGATGGTTTCTCCATAGTCTTTCTTAACTTTTCTCCAATCTTTGGCACCAACCGGACAAGAACCACCATTTCTTGCTATGGTGCCCAAAAATTGGCCTAAAAGGCCACCTTCTTTTCCAATGGGCTGTCCAAGCTTATTACATCTTACTACTATCCTATCTCCGCCAAGTAGATCCCAAACATGTGTTAAAACAGTCCCCTTTCGCTTTTTAGGTTCTTTTTGTCGCCATCAGCTATTAAAAATAGAATGACAAAGATAGTAACTAGTTAAGATACAGTCCATATGAATGAGATTGATCTAACTACATTTGTACCGATGTGTTCTGTTCTCATCATCGCTACGCTCAACCTCGTTATCATATAGTGCTTCAAAGATGCATTAAATTTAATGCTTTCTTTTTCTTTGTACCTCCTCTTCCTGCTAAACAAATTTTGAATAGGCTAATCTTGGATGAAAATAAATCATTGATAACTACCATGATATGGAATAGTTAAGTTGTACTTGAATAATCAGATATACATACAGAAGAGTAAAATTATATGTTCATTCTAATACCTTTAGTTTTTTTTGGTTTAGATTTGGATGGTTCTTTGTTGGACTTGGTAGGCGCTAAAGTGGCCAGTCTGTCCTTTGTCACAAACAAGCTAACCATCTTTTTGCTCTCACACTCGTTAAGCATTTTCATCACTTGTGATCTTGTTCTAGTACAACCAAGCTATCTTTTCGCTTGTAGTATAGATAGTCAACTGATGAGTATCCATGATCCTTGATCAAATCAATCAGTTCCGTAGCATATCACATCTCTGTCCATTTCCGTTTTCACATGTCTCTCTCCTTCAGGTTCCCCATCACATTCAAGATTTATGGTCCAATTATCCACCGCCATGGTTGCACAATCTAAATAAAATATAGTACCAATAGAAAATTAAGAATAAAGATAACGAAGAGTAACAATTAGATTAAAGTGCATATATGTAATGTTATTTGAACTTGGAGCTTGAGAACAAGTGAAGTGCTACTGTTCAGATAGAATGGTCAAAAGGATGGCATATTAGCTTTATATATAATACTTGTGTTTTTGCTCGGTATGTAAAGATTTGATGCCACTAGGCAATAGAATTTTGAAACCTTATATCAGCACATAGCAATATCAGATTGCTAAATTTCCAACCATTGCAAAATATGACAATTAATCTTTGCAGGCACCAACAACTAATTTTACATGCAGGAAAACAGAACTAGCCAAAAATTTAATCTTTGCAGCACCAACAAAATATTTTTACATGAAGAGAAATAAATTAGACCCTGCACACATATCAAGATGTAAGAAAGAACAATCTTTTTATTAATCTACAGGTCTAGACCAGACATGCAAGATTTTTTTGAGTTGTAAAATAGACATCCTCAGTCAAAATAAATTGTCATAATGATCAATCAGTTCACAACCTATATGAGGGCAAATACCACTTGTGAGGTTGAGGAAAACAGAGCAGAACTACACATACAGCTGCAGACTTTTGTCACCCAAACAGATCTCGCATATTCAAGTCATTGCCTTCAAGTACTACTACCCCAACTTGACTCCAGTAGTTAAAATCTTGTGAAAAGTGATTCTGAAATATCTTTTGTGTGAAAAGCGGTGCATTTAAGTATTCTGAAGGTGGAGGCACAACTTTAGTTTCTAGTTTTACAGAACCAAAATGATTGATCTGTGCAGACTAAATTTACAAGGGCAGGGACAGAGCGGTTGCGACGAACTTTGCCGGCGGGTTCAAGGTGGCCGGGAACTGCTTGGGCTCGGACACACAAGCAGCTGCGTGGAAGCGTGCGCGAGCGCGGCACCGGAGGGCGGTGGCTGACGGTGAAGCTGCTGCGTGGCAGCTGCTTGCTGCTGCTACTGTTCTCAACTGAAACAGCCCTCTTCCTCTCTCTCTTTCTCCTGATTTCGCAAAACAGCAAGATGATCGGCCTTAAGAAAAGTTGGTCATCTACAAGAGCTCACCATCTTTGCTTAAGGGACCATCATCAAAAGATCACTGGTTTTAAAGATTTTGAATTCAGAAGATGGGCACTGTGAAACTGTAACTGAAACCACATTCAGAGTTGTGGAAAACTGATTTTACTTATCAAACCTTGCCAATTAACTAATGGATAACCATTTGTCAAACATCGCAACCAACTAGAATTATCATATCTGAAGCAATCTACCAAACAATGGAACAAAAATTTGGACAAATTTTATTCCTATACTTCTAGTGTATACTACCTATAGGATGAAGCCCAAGGGATTTGTATGCCTAGGGCAATGATCATGGAGCGATAAGGCAGTAGGAGACTAGGACATCGGCATCGGGTACCTCGAGCGGCACAGGGTTCCGTTCGCTGACTGGCCCGCTTGTGAAGAGGGCCGATGATTTGGGAATTGTGGGAGCGGACGAGGAGTTGAAGAGAAGCATACCTAGCGATCTGGGCTGGACGGACGAACTGATCCGGCCGCCACGAGCATGGATCAGCTGCCGGCGGTCGGTCCTCTGCTTGACCGAGATTCTCTTTCTGATGGGGTCGGGGAACTCGACGACGCGCTCGCTCGGCCGGCAATTGGCCACTTCGCCTCCGTCGAGCCCGTTCGCCACCGCCGGCCTTGGAGCTGCGGTCAGTTACTCAGTTCGTGGAAATGAGGAGGGAGTTGGAGTTTTTTCAGCTAGATTCAATTATTCGATACGACTGAGTCACCGAGAGGGGCATCTGTTTGGCGGCAGATGTATTGTTCGGAGGGAAAATTTGGTGGGAAATACTTTGTCTATTTTTTTTGGAGGGAAACTAATGTTCCATGTCTCTTGATTCTAGATTGGTTTTGTGATAATATTAATAATGACACGTATATTAGTTTTGTGATAATATTAATAATATGAACCAAATTAGTGTATTTTAAACTAATGTCTAATAATAATTTTAATTTTTACATTAACACATAAATGAATTTTTATATAACTAATGGCACCAAATTAATGTGACCAATTATATTACTATTATTAATATGATAAATATTAATGAAAAATAGTTTCTTGAAACGAGTATTATTAACTACCACTACACTTTCACTTATGGCTATAGAGCATATGGTTTCATCCAGGATAATGCCTACGCGTGCAGGTGAAAGTTGCTCGGTCTGCACACCTTTCCCCCTCGCCTTCTCCTCCTCACGTCTTCCCCCACCATTGGCGCCATGTCGTTCCCCTTACACCTTCTCGCCCCGTTTGGCTCCATACATTCTGCACACCTTCCGTCTCGTCTTCTCCTCCTCGCGTCTTCCCCGCCACTGCGCCACATCCTTCTCCGTCCACCTCCTCACCTCGTCCGACTCCATATTTTTTTTGAGATCTCAACTCTTCATGTGCAAGTTGTAGTATCCGGGACTCACGCACCAACTCAGTACACCACAACAAACGCACACACACACTCACAAACACACCTAGTGCGCAAATTAGATCTACACCTATACGAAGAGACTGGACGTGGCTAAGAGGTATATGAAGTTGTCACCTTGTCTTCGAATGTGACGAGCACGTCACCCTGACGACGAATGTGGCATATCCACGTCTAAGGTAGCTAAGCCAGGACCAACCACGGGCTCTTGCCATCCAAGCTATGCTCGGTTCTCTCCAGCTCTATATCTAGTGCCCCTAAGCTCGCCCCGTCTCCACCACCTCCGACCGCTGGTGACAACCACCTTCTTCCCCTTCCCCCTCTCTTGATGCGGCCATGGCAAACTAAGGCGACCTCCTCAACAAAATCCTATGCGGTGACAATGCTTCTTCTCCAGCGGTGGCAACAGTGCTTCTTCTCTGGGGGCGGCGGTGTTTCTTGTCCGGTGGCACCAGCGAATCGACGGCCAAGGAAAGTAGCAGCGAGCATCGCGCGATGGATCGGGTGTGCGTGCCGAGCGGCGAATTTGTACGCGCTTGGACGCTAGCATTTCCCAAAATCTTGAGTTCCATATTTGACATCCGAAAGTTCTCAAATAATGGGATCAGATGAAAACAAAGTTTGGAATAAAAAGCTATAAATTTTAAAATTTGAGGGATTTAAAATAAAATTTCAATATGTATTTTTCAGAAATAATTATGCACTTAAAAACATTTTTCCTGATGTCAGCATAACCGGTTGTTTTGGGCTTTCAAAACAACCGGATTCTCGGCCATCGGATCTGTATTAGCTGCCATCTGAGGCGTAGTTTGCTTCCCATTCCCTCTGGCTTTGTCGCAGAACGGCCGCCGCCGCCGCCCAAGTCCAGGCCGGTTTGCCCCGCTCGTCGTCGCATAGGTCCCAGGCCGCCACCGCCCAGGCGCAGGCTTCTCCCCGCTCCCTCCTTCGTCGTAGCTCCTAGGGCCGCCGCCGCCCAGGCCAGTGCGGTGCGGCCATCCACGGTCGTTGTCCCCCGGCGCGCGACGCCGTCGTTCCCTCACGCCGGCGTCCGGTGCAAAGTGGGCGCTGGCTGTCCCGGCCGGGCGTCCACGGGCGCGGTGGCCATCCACGGTGCGGAAGTTACGGTCCCAAGCGGCGTCCCGGGCGGTCGTTCCTCGCAGCGGACGCAGGTCGGGCCCCTCCTGTCCACCATTTTTTTTTTTTTTTTGAAAATTCTCAAGAATATGAAGAATCTGTGGAATATAATAGCCTACTTAAAAGTGAATGCAAGAGGTAGTAAAGATACAGTTACTGTAGCCTATCGTGTCTGCTCACTATCAGGTAGATATGGTGGAAGAGCTTCTTTCTGAATGCAAATCATGTATTTTCAGTGTACAAAGATTTAAAAAGTGGTCAATGCACATCTCTCGGCAGATGAACTTCTTACTGACAGGTGTGTTAGTAGTTGCTAGAATTAGCATGCTAAAATATTAATTGGACTGAAACAGGCCATAGAGATCAGAAACAAAAACAACATTAGAGAAAAAAGAATCACATATATCTTGGTCTTCATAGCTCAAGAAGAAAACACATAAAAGAACTAATTTGGCCAAACACTAAGCCACTCAAGTCTCAAACTTTAGATACAAACTCAGATTATCCAGCTGACCAGAAATAGCAAGCAATCAAAATAGGTTGAATTCCATGTTCAGAAGTGAATAACGGCTCACTGAATTATTGGGGTGGTCTAGCAGAGCTTTCAACAGGCAGTAGGTACCCAGAGCTCTGTTTTATTGGAGATCAGCAGCCAAAGCTAGCAGCTGCACAATTGTAGCTACTCACTGTTTGTTCAGTGATCTGTACAGGCTGCCATATATCCAACATCCTTTGTTTTTTGTGGAATTATCCAATTTTCTTATTGCCCTAGGCATGCATCATGAGGCAATAATTAGCAGGCTGTACACTTCCTCATTTATCATCAAAGGAAAAAGAAGCAAAAGTTCATGGATTTTTTTTACAATTAATTTCAGCATTGTCCATCAGCACACAGCACCTTGACTACAGCTCCTTCAGGCAACACTATACTACTTCAGATAGGATTCATTATAGTATCATGGAAAACATAGCTGAATTGTTTTAAAAGAAATCATAGCTGAATGCATATAGTGATGCATCCTGCAACTCTGAGCCATATATTTTCATACTGACAACTAGAGCACATTTTATTTCAGTGAACCAAATCCAGAGGTCCAAGTTCAGAGAACCAAATTTGTAGAAACTATTACGAACATTTTGCAAGAGCATTGCCAAGTGAGTGAAATCTGAAGTCTTTCCTGTACATGCTATATTGGCAAAGTATTCTGATTCATTGTAATTCTCCTCCCAAACTTTTTTCTTTTAGCAGTCCTCTGAAGAAATAGTCAAATTGTTTCATCATCACAGTGGTTATATTTTGAGGAGGCTATTAGAATCATAGCAGAC